CCACCACTTACCGCTAAAGCCATCTATAGGAAAACGGCGGAAGCAAAGTTGTACTTGTTATTTTAAGTTGTTTTAGTTGTTATTTTAATTGAACATTTTACTATTGTTATAATTTTAACTACATTTTCCTGTGTTTTTAGAAGACTTCGTTTTGATAAGTAAGACGATCATAGTTCGGAACGAGGTTCCGGCAACACATGCCACTCGTGCATGGCCACCGTAGCCATTGCCGCTTGTAATGAACAACCTCTCGCGCGTCTAGCAACCATGATTACTAGGTGGCCATATCTCGCTACGAGCTTAAATTTAATGATAGACCAGGCTTATTAAGGGAGGATTATTATTTTTTGGACGAAAAAAGTCGATTTTTTGAGAATTTTTTTTACCAAAGTATAAAGTCAGTACACTTGAATTCTGGTATATTGTTTTGTGATACTTTAATGGAGTTAAGTTTTTTTTATTTAATTTGACCGTAAATTACGCCCTTTCTCTCTTCTCGAACATTGCGCTACGCGTCGTACTTCAGTCACTGGTTGGCAAAATATTTTCCCTCCAGGTTATGTAAAATGCAAAAACTTGATGGAGTTTTATTTTATATACAGAGTCTTCAAAAAGTCTGGAAATGCTAAAATATCTCGATAACGATCAACTCTAGTGAAACATATATAAAAGTAAAGTTGCAGGACTTTAAAAAATCTACCTAACTGATGATAAAAGGTTGACCTTGGGTGGAGTCTTGCATTAAAAATTCATTTTTACGTAAAAATGAATTTTTAGTGCAAAAATGAAAATAAGAGGAAAATAACCTCTATTGGCCTTGATTTTGACAAATGTTATCCAGAACATGATCCCGAACAACATTTAAAAGGTTTTAGCCCTCGGTCGGATACCTTGTGTAATGCTAATGCTGAAAGTTACTGTAACTTTCATGCCTTATAACTCGAAAAATACTTCATGAAAAATTATTTTATTATAGTGTTTTGGAAAGCTCTCGAGGTGTGCTACAAGAATATGCAATGAAAAATAGGGAGTTCTATTTAAAAAATTCAACTTGACCTTTATATGACCTTGCAGACTCCACCCAAGGTTAACCTCTTATCCTCAGTTAGGTAGATTTTTGAAGTCCTACAACTGCTTTTATATATTTTTCATTAGAGTTGATCGTTTTCGAAATATTTTAACGTTTCCAGACTTTTTGAAGACCCTATATATATATATATATATATAAAAAAATCATCGATTTCGCTCAAAAATTGGCTGAATTTTTTGCAATAAAAATGCAATAAAAAAATATATTATAACGAGTTGTTTTTTTATTTCATTAAACGATAAAGGGATGTTTGCTCAACATGCAGTTCAAAGCGGAAGGTGATCGGTTCATCTTCCGCTTTGAACTGCATTCATTAGTTTCGTAGATATCACACCAACTCAGCTAGTAACTGTCAAGTTTTACAACTAGAAGTGCTTAATAAAAAAAAACTTTATTATAGTATTTTAAAAACGTCTTGACTTTAGCTATAATATGTAATAAAAAATAGCGGTTCCTATTTACAAAATTCATGTTTGACCTTAACTTGGTAATGCCCCATATACAAAATCTGTTATTTCCATTTTGTTTTCTCCAAGAAAACCTACAACTTTTATACAAAAATTTTTTTAAATCTCTTTAGTTTCTGAGATATCTACCTGAAGCGATTTAAATGCTTCATCTTGTATATAAAATCTCATTGTGAGATATAAATGAATTTATAAATCGATGCAACTATTCATCTTAAATAACGATATTTGATCAAACTTACTGTATATTAACAGCTTGTTTAAATAAACTTACAGCCTTCAAAAGCTGCACGTCATCTTTGAGTAAATTACCAAGATTGTTCATAGCTTGAGCATACTTTGGATTTAATCTGTGTGTAGTAAATATAAAGAATATAAATATATAATATGAAATTTCTCTTAGAAGAGATTTTAGAAAAATAAATTTTAAGAGAATTTACAACTTTATATACACTATATACAGTACCGTAAAGCCTCTTGATATTCTAATTTGGCAAGGTCAATGTTTCCTGCATCTGCAGCATTTTTTGCGATATTATAATGCACTTTTGCGTTGAGAGGACATACATCTAATGCTGATTGAAAAAGCAGCTTCTCATTTTTCCATTGAGTACTCCTTATCCAAGAACGTATAAACAATAATACAATGAGCATTGTATATGCTGACAATGACGTTTTAGGCAAAGAAAATCGGGCGGAAAATTTCTGTAAACCGATAACAACCAACAAGCAATATCCCGCCGAAGGAATATACAATACTCTCTCTGCCAAAACAAATCCAACATTGAAGAAGATATTACTAGCTGGCAGAAACGGACAGATCAATATTGTAAGTCCCATAATTACATATCTGTAAAAGTTATGTATTTTACACATGTATCATTCTCAACATATATGTATCTTTTTAATTTTAAAAAGGTTTCAGATTACCTTAAAGTCTTATTTTTATGAGAAATAACCGTGTACATTATTAATGTTCCAAACATGAACCAGAAAATAATGACTACAAAAGTTCTATAGTCATAACTGGTGATCAAAGATATACAACCCATTGACCAATCAAAACAAAGCCATATAGGGCAGATAAGTAACCATATATTCAAGCAATAGATATAGTTATAATTAAGTATACGAAGCAATACGTTATCCATAAAAGATGCCGGATTATCTACTGATTGAAATTTTGGAATTGAAAATCCCATAATACTGAATCTTAGAAGTAAAAGTATTATTGCAATAAAAATAAGTGCAGCAAGCCGTAACAAAATATTTTTATACTTAATACAGTTATTCAAATTTTTATCGACATGTTTAAATGAAAAAAAATTGATTACGTCAATTGGATATATTTTATTCACAATAACTATATCATATATTGCGCAAATACCCTAAAAGATAAAGACAAGTATCCGTTATTGTTATATTTAAAAAATTTAGTTTAAGAATGTAATTTTAATACTTACAATAGCAGTAATACCAGTTTCTTTACACAGCATCGCTGCAGTTATGCAAATAGTAAAACTGAACATAGCAACCCATGCATGTAATATATTTTTTGCGTATATCATATGATTATACAATAAGATCGATAGCCATGTAAACAAACCACATAATAATTCAGCACGTCCGACAATTCCAGATACCTGACGTACGAAGAAATAAATATAATTATATAATGTATTCTGGTATATAAATACAAGATTAACCTGGGAATAGTCATCTAATTTTTTCACATGAACGATTACCTGAATTTTTTTTTACAGTTCACTGTTATTAATTATACATTGTATACTGATTGTTGTATAATTTTTTAGTATTTGAAATCATTATGTATATACAGTTTTATTTAATATTTTCTTAAAAAAGAGAAAAACAGATACAAATTACTTGATCTGTAAACTATCGTAACTATTATAACTGAACTTTAGGCCCTATTTTATAACTCTTAACGACAGTATTAATATCATTACACTGTTGTTGCATAGCTTTTTTAAAACTACTAATACTGCCATGTGTTAAGAACTGGTTTTACCATTTTGGATTAGCTTGATCAGTCGATTAAATATCAACTGTGACTGATCAATTCTTAACGATAATGTTGTGTTTTATATGGATCAAGATGATGAAACCGGCCTTAAGAGTATAGAATAGGGACATTAGTTTATTTTACTGGGATATAAAAATAATTTCAAATTAATATAATTTCCAGGTTAATATATATAATGATAATGATGCATTTATAATTATAATTACAGCCTCTGTATGAATTGGATGAACTGCAAATAAGGCTGCGGCGTAAAATGAAATGTTCTGTCCTTCTGGTCCCAAAAATATATTGTATATAAATAAAGTTAGTAGGCAAATCATACTATGCAATATTATATTTATTATATGGTAGTCCTGCGAAACTAAGTCTTGTCGCAACCAGAATTGTAGTCTACAGAGAAAGAAGAGAAAATTAATTTTTATAGTTTCATGACAAAAAGTATCATTATATATACATACATATAATATGTGTAAATATAAAGTGTTCTAGACTATCCATGCACTCCTTTTAAAATGAAGAGAAATGATTTTTATGAGAAGTATCAAAAATTGTGATAAGTATATCGAGTACACAGTATCAAATGGTGATATATTCAACTTCCGGTTTTGACCGGAAATAAAGTATCCAAGGAAGTTGATTTTTAAAAATGGAACATAGTATTTTTTTATTCTACGCGAAAAAACTTGAAACTTTCGTCTTAAATATTTTCTTCTTGAATGCTTTTATTGACCTTGAAATAATTTTGAAAGTGGAAAAATAAACTTTAACTGCTCTAAGCGTAACCCAAACAGGGAAATATGATAGATATCTGATCTCGTGTTTATATCTCTGTGTATATGCACGCGCACATTTGCATGCATACACACAGAGTACACACATATACACATATACACGTATATGCGTACTTGCATACGTGAATATTTTTGAGTAAAATGTGTACTTGTTTAAGCGAGGTATTCAAAATAAGTGTTACGAAGCATCTACTTTAGAAGTAATTGATTGCTCGAAAAATTTCATCGTCATCTAAGAATCGAATTGTTCCCTTAAACATGTGTACACATTCAGTTATTCAAAAATGCCCATGTGTGTATGTGTGCAAGCATGCAGGTACGTATTCAAACGTGTGTGTGCACATGCACCAGGGTTACTAGAGGTGTGAGGGTACCCGAAATTATGGGTAATTTTTCGAGAGCTTCGGGTTCGGGTCGGGAATTTTTTTCGGGATCGTGTCGGGATTTGTTTCATAGAACAATCGAAATCAAAATTAATGAAATTTTGTCATGGTAAATTGGGTAGCGTGGAAGAAAAAAACAACCATCTTTTCATTTCGGCATAAATAAAGAAATGCAAATTTATTTTTCGGAAAGAATTCTTCGGCGAAATATCGATATAATAGTAAATTGGTGGAAATGCAACTATACGAGATTTCCAATACTGCCAGCAATTGTAAAATAATATATTTTTGCAATTTATATACAGGGTGTTAGTTAAGTATGTTCCCAAACTCAACAGAGCGATTCTTTGGTTTATTTCAAGTAAAAAAGTCCATATAAACATGTGTCCTAAACGACTTAGTTTTCGAAATACAGATGAATGTTCGCAAATGTTTGACAAAACGATAAATTGCGTTGGAGATATCTTCCTGCATAAATATGCCTTGCTTCATGT